TTATGCAGAAAATTCGGAGTGTGGAAATTAGGAAAAGGTGTGGAGTTAATAAAAGTATTAGTCAGAGGGCAGAAGAGGGGTTGTTGAGGTGGTTTCGTCATTTAGAGAGAATGGATCAAAGTAGAATGACATGGAAAGCATATAAATCTATAGGGGAAGGAAGGCGGGGTAGGGGTCATCCTCGAAAGGGTTGGAGAGAGGGGGTAAAGGAGGTTTTGTGGGCGAGGGGCTTGGACTTTCAGCAAGCGTGCGTGAGCGTGTTAGATAGGAGTGAATGGAGACAAATGGTACTTGGGACCTGACGATCTGTTGGAGTGTGAGCAGGGTAATATTTAGTGAAGGGATTCAGGGAAACCGGTTATTTTCATATAGTCGAACTTGAGTCCTGGAAATGGGAACTACAATGCCTGCACTTTAAAGGAGGGGTTTGGGATATTGGCAGTTTGGAGGGATATGTTGTGTATCTTTATACGTATATGCTTCTAAACTGTTGTATTCTGAGCATCTCTGCAAAAACAGTGATAATGTGTGAGTGTGGTGAAAGTGTTGAATGATGATGAAAGTATTTTCTTTTTGGGGATTTTCTTTCTTTTTTGGGTCACCCTGCCTCGGTGGGAGATGGCCGACTTGTTGAAAAAAAATATATATATATATATATATATGTATATATATATATATATATATATATATATATATATATATATATATATATATATATATATATATATATATATATATATATATATATATTTTTTTTTTTTCAACAAGTCGGTCGTCTCCCACCGAGGCAGGGTGACCCAAAAAAGAAAGAAAATCCCCAAAAAGAAAATACTTTCATCATCATTCAACACTTTCACCACACTCACACATTATCACTGCTTTTGCAGAGGTGCTCAGAATATAACAGTTTAGAAGCATATACGTATAGAGATACACAACATATCCCTCCAAACTGCCAATATACACACACACACACACACACACACACACCAACACACACACACACACACACACACACACACACACACACACACACACACACACACACACACACGCACGCACGCACGCACGCACAGTAGGGCCCCATTTATACAGCGGGTTAGTTTCCAGGCTATCGCCATAAAGCAGAACGCCATTTCTTCCACTTATAAATGCCAGACAACAAGTTTACACTAAATTATAATAAGTTAGTAATAGAACTAGGCATTAAAAACTCAGAAAGTAAAATACATACACAGTACGTTCATTACTTTTCTTAAAGTATGTATTTGTAATCGTAATGTAATGCGAGAGGTGAGTAGTACTTACTTGTAGGAAGTTGGGTGTAGGTAGCCCTGGCTCCCCATCTCATACTTAATATACGATATTTAAAAGAGCCCAGAGAGTTAAAATACACATACAGTACACTCATTATTTACCTTAAAATATGTGTAGTCTTAATGTAGGAAGAGAGGTGGGTAGTATTTATTTGTAGGAAGTCAGTGTAGGTAGCCGGTAGGTGTAGCCCGCCTAGACTACACCTGCCGGCTACCTACAGTCTGGCCCAGAGCCATAGTTTTAGCATCGACATACCTTGTTCACTGAATTTAATCGTTCCTAACAACTACCTTTAGATGCCATCATAAACGAAGGGAGAAGTAATGAATAATTCATGCAGAAAATTGTAAACGAAAGCGGAGTGGGGGAGTGCCTGGGCCAAACGCAGATTCATACACGTTTTCTCTGGTGCCTGACCAGAGAAAACCTGGCTACCACACAGGTCCACAAGTATTATTATCAGAGCACATATAAAATATGCAATAAATGCCAGACAACAAGTTTACACTAGCTTATATTAAGTTAGTAATAGAAATAGGCATTAAAAACAAAATAAAAGGTAAGATACACAGAGAGTACACTTATTACTTACCTTAAAATATTAATATTAATGTGTGAGAGGTAAGTGGCAGGGTGTTTATTGTATAAAATCAGAATGGCACACCATCATCCTCTAATTTGGCACTTAAAGCAAGAGGCTTAGGACTCCTCTTTTTATCATAGCTAAGCTTAGACGCCATCGTCAATGAGAGTCAGCTAGTTAACGAAAGAGTAAACAAGAGAGAAAACGAGATACAAAGTTCAGACAGAGAGTTTGCCTAACTAACAAAAAAAGGCACAATACCGTGACTGGAACGATACACAAATAACCCACACATAAAAGAGAGAAGCTTACGACGATGTTTCGGTCCAAGTCGGGCCGAAACGTCGTCGTAAAACACAAACTGAACAGATAGTGGGTGATCACTTTGTCAGGCGAAATAAATGCGTATTAATATGTGTCTGCTTTTAGTTCATTCATGTACGTTTGTAAGAGTTTGTAAAACTTTTACCTCACAATATTTTTTTTTATTATAATAATAATTACCTCACAATACAAATACTCTTATATTGTGTACAAGTTGTATAAGTTAGTACAGAATACACAAACAGCAACACTCTCGTTCTCATGCAACACGCCATTTTTAGAGTGAATGAAGATGATAATATTATTATCATCATCATAATAAAAAAAGCTCGAAACCCACAAGGGTCGTGAATTGCTATATATAGAGTGAAGGCATACAAAAGGAATATTTTTCTACAGTTATCCCCCAGTGTTTTACTAGAGAAAGCGTAATTCTTCCGACACTACCTACACAGCCACTTTGTAAACAAATCTCATATTTACACCAATTTTTATTCTTTGAGTGTATGTATCATGTTTATATGCTATGTAACGTGTTTCTTATATAATTTTGAGGAAAATGTCGTGGATGGATTAATGAAAATTCTATATTAATGTAAAATAAGACATTTAATGTGCCCAAGAGTGATGAGTATTACGTACTATTGGCGTCATGAGTAGAGAGAGACTTAGCGATTTTAATGTGTACCTGCACACCACACAGTGTGTAAGTATATTTAGATACAGGTACACATAAGTATAATTATCAGAGTATATATAAAATACGCATAACTGTAAAACACTTGAAATTTTGGAAAGTTTCTAGACATAATAGATGTGGTCACAGAGAATGTAAACAAACCAAGTGGGGCGCACCGTATTTGAAAGACCGCTTGCCGTATAGCATGTTTTGGTCATAATTTGACATCGCCATATTAGCGGAACGCTAATATTATTACATGTATTTTGAACTGTAGTATCATCACACTTCTGGCAAGACAGTGATGGAATGATTGACGATGAAAGTGTTTCTTCTTTTTCGGGTCACCCTGCCTCAGTGGGAAACTGCCGATGTGTTAAAAAAAGCTAATGAGGCAAGCTTGAGATGAGGAAGGAGAGGCAGTCATCTGTGAGTCCTGTATTGAGTGAGTGATAGTGAATCTTTGTGGGAAATGTCTAGTGAATGTATTAAAAGAAAAGAAGAGTGGAAAAGAAGTAGCTTGAGTTAAGTAGTGATGGCGGGAGTAGACTTGGTACAAAGGTGCAAAGGTAGACATAACGTGGTAATTCATATTTAACTCTTGAAATTGTCAAATGTTATATCCCAACCCCTAAACACTTGTAACAATCCTCCAGAATTGGAAAAATCTCATTTATTTAACCCTTTGGGGGTTTCGGCCATACTAGTACAGCTTATGCCCCAGGATTTTTGACGCACTAGTATGCCTAAATTCTAGCGCACTCAAATCTAGTGAGAGGAAGCTGGTAGGCCTACATATGAAAGAATGGGTCTATGTGGTCAATGTGCACAGTATAAAAAAATGCTGCAGCACACAGTGCATAATGAGAAAAAAAAAACTTTGACCGTGTTTTTGGAATAAAACAGCGACTTTGCACTGTATTTTCGTATGTTAATTATTGTTGTATTCTAGTTTTCTTGGTCTCATTTTATGGAACGGAAGACATATTACAGAAATTGAGATGATTTTGACTGGTTTTAAAATGAAAAGTACTTTGAAATTGAGCTCAAAGTAGCTGAAATGTTCGATTTTTACCAAAGTTTAAAAGTAAACAAATCATGCCAAGCATCCAATACATGTCAACTGGTGAGTCTGATATTCTTTCACAAGTGTGCTGATATTATTTATACCATTTCTACACTAATGCAATAGTCTGCATAACAGTAAATCTTCTATTTTTTGTAAGATTAAAAATTCAAAGTGGAAAGCCAAAGAAATATAAGAGGGGCCTGGGAATGTGACTAGTGAACAGAAAACTTGTTATTTTAGTGCCAGGAATGTCTTTCTTGTTTATTCTGGAGCCTATTCAGAAATTGGCATCTTTTGAAATTTGTGTGAAATTGGTAAAATTGCTAAATTCTGACCACTTTATTGGATAGTTGAAATTGGTAAATGGGTGGTTTCTTGTACTCATTCGATAGAAAAAAATGGAGTTCTAGTGAAATAATTATGATTTTTGTCGCCTAGTACATTGGAATTAGCCGAAAATAGGGCTCAAAGTGGGCAAAATTGCCGATGCGTAAACATCGTCGAGACCGCTAACTTTGCGAGAGCATAATTCCGTAAGTTTTCCATCAAATTTCATGCTTTTGGTGTCATTATGATTGGGAAAAGATTCTCTATCTTTTCATGATATATTTTTTTTTTTTTTTTTTTTTTTTTTTTTTTTTTTTTTTTTTTTTTTTAAATTTTGGCGACCCTGAGAACAAGTCTCTGAGAGGGCCTGGTGGCCCTCAATGGGTTAAACAGTCCAAATAAAACACATCTCTTTCTGAGCAGTTTGGTTGTGAGGGTGATGAGACATGCATTGATACCTGGCATGTGGGTGGTGAAACATGGTGTGTGTGTGTGTGTGTGTGTGTGTGGGTAGCAGAATATGTGTGGGTGGTTGATACTGGGTGTGTTAGTGATGAAGTACAGTTGGTATATATTGGTATATTTCATCAAAACTTAATTGTACATCCTGCACTTTTGAAAAAGCACTGCATGAACATGTGTCATGTGAGAGTCAACTATATGATACACTAATCTTGTCCCCTTTATATATACATTTCATCAGACCTATGTGTCATCCTGCGGTAAAGTAAAAAAAAAAATCCATGTACTTTTCAGTACAGTACCTTCGCCATCAGTTAATGGCTGCTCATCACTAACCCACCTATGATGAATGCCATGTTTGTGCTTAAATTTTGAGACCAGACCACTCATATTCTGCATTCATTTTCATTTGAGCATGAAATGTTTGGCCTTTTCTATAAGCAGGGCAAAAACTGCACTTGTATGAGCCACAAGGTATGCCTTCATGTTTCAGAACACAAACAATGTCTAGGAAGGGGGTTAATGTCACCTCCAACCACTACCTCCTAGCACGCGTGCCTCGCCATGTGTTTGTTCACCTGGAGGCATCTGAGCCACCACCGGCCAGCCTGGCAATGGTGAGCCGCTGCGACAATTGTCATTTATCGAATCCAAGGGTGTCGTACTGCGAGTGCATTCTCTAATGTTTCAGCTGTTGTATATCAAAAAATACATCAAACAGCCATTAAGCGAGGTTTACCTGCACAAATATTTCAATAAATTGTCTCAGGACAATAATGTATGTATTCTTGGGGTAAGAGAATAGGGAATACCATCCTTAGCTGTCTTATATTTTTCTTTACATTGTTTATTCTTTCAGGGAAACAACATAACACTTATGCATGTCCATGATGGCACATTCCATCCCAACCATGAGAACCAAGTTGATGTCAAGTTCCAGACTGGTCAATGGTTTAAAAGAGTTGTTGGTCGAGGTCAAGCAATAAAATCTCAAGAACTGGCCAACAGGGAGGAAATCATGATGGTTTTGGAAAATATGGAGCTTCTTTTGATAAGGTATTCTCTTAATTCTTTAAATTTTATGTTATGTTCATAATCTTACTGTGTTGTACGTAGATCTTTTCAGGTGAGCTACTTAATGCCTACCTGTTAAGTTTAAATAGCTTTCAGGTAATATTTTATATACAGTAATCCTTCAAAATTAATGGACCTAACGCATTCAGAAACTATGATTACCATTAAAATTTGTCATTATTATTATTTTGAACTGTAGTATCATCACACTTCTGGCAAGACAATGATGGAATGATTGGCAATGAAAATGTTTCTTCTTTCTCGGGTTACCCTGCCTCAGTGGGAAACTGCTGATGTGTTAAAAAAAAAGCTAACGAGGCAAGCTTGAGGTGAGAGGAAGGAGAGGCAGTCATCTGTGAGTCCTGTATTGAGTGAGTGATGGTGAAACTTTGTGGGAAATGTCTAGTGAATATATTAAAAGAAAAGAAGAGTGGAAAAGAAGTAGCTTGAGTTAAGCAGTGACGGCAGGAGTAGACTTGGTACAAAGGTGCTGTGAAGGCTTACTCAGCCCTGTAACAACTTCAGACAGTATTACCAAGGCTGACTCCTCCTCAGGAAAATTAATGAATAGAAAAAGAACAAAAACTGACAAACATAAACACTTTATTATTTAGAAAATTTAAAATATAAAACACTTAAATATGAAATATTGATCCTACATTAAAGAAAATGAAAAATGAAAAATATAAATGATATCTGAATTCAATGCTAATATATATATATAAAACTTGGGTGTCTGGTGTTGGTGACACTGCGTGTTGTTGAAATCGTAACCGTTGCCGATGATGGGGGGGGGTCGCAGGTGTTGATGACAACCCACCGGCTCATTCTTCACAGATTTTCTAGCCGTCAATAATCCGTCCAGATGACAGGAAAGGAGGTTTTTTTCTACTGCAATGATGAGGGGTTATATCCTGCTACTTGCATACACAAACAGGTAAGTGGATCAGAATTTAGGACGTCTCAGAACGTTAGTCAGTCTCCTTCAATTCTACTCGTTGATTAGCAGGTGACCCTCTCTGTCCTTTCAAGCTGTAAAGAGAGACAGATTACCCACTGCTTAAGAAATCACTCTCCATGATAAGTACAATACCTAAAAGATGTGGTTGATTTTAAAACATTTTAACCTATCAAGACTGAAAGGACAAAGTTAATTATTGGTCAAAAGTGAAGCTTTAAACCCAATAAGTCCACTAAAATATGATGAGGCGTGTACTTACAGTAGTGTTGGGAGTTGTGAGTCAAGTGATTTACTGTTTGCCCGGGAAAGCCCCACACGTCACCTTTCGGGGGGGGGGGATTAAGAAGGGAGGGGAAGGGATAGCGGGAGCTAGACGGGACCCTACCTTAACAAGCACCCGGCAATAAAACGATCATTTTTGGGGGAGGGGGAAAAAGGGGGGGAATAGCGGGAGCGGACTTCCCCTACCTTAACAAGTAGCGGCAATGAAACTATTGTTACTATATACTCCCTCGCTACTCCTATCTATTGAACTTTTCCTCACACCCCCCCATATCAAGACTTATAGTCAAGGAGTATAAGAAGAATAAGCGAGGAAAAAGTTCTAACATGTGGAAGTCGCGTAAGGCAACAAATCGTCTACTAAACTGTCACGATTTAAAACCAGTCAGAAAAATTTAATTGGATGAACCATTGATATACACAATATGGGAACTTAAAAGCCTGGAGTGCCAATGTCCACCTCAAGAGGCGACTGTTGGTTCCCTTAAAAACTTTCTAGGTATATCAAAGGTTTGGTCCATTTCTAAAATGAATTTCTTTTCCCAGCAAATAAAATTTAAGCTTGGAGATACCCACACAAGGGCTAAACATTCCTTTTCTATTGTGGAGTATCTCGTTTCTGCGGGAAGGAGTTTCCGGCTTAGGAAGCATACAGGGAAGGGAGTACCATCATGGTATTGTAGTAACACGCACCAAAGCCAGTATTGGAGGCATCAGTTCTTAAAAAAATGTTTTTTTTAAATATCTGGAATTTTAAGTTTTAGGGTCTTTCGAAAAGATACTTTTAATCTCATTAAACTTTTCCCGAGCTACGTCGGAAAAGTTCAAGAGGTTCCTTCACAGATTTTTTAAAGGGAAAGTTGGATAAGATGCCTGTAAGATCAGAAAGGTTCGGGATAAACCGTGCATAAAAATTTACAGAACCAAGAAAGCACGCATGAGCTTCTTGGTTTTGGGGAAATTTAAATTCTAATAAAGCTTTGATCTTACTGGGGAGAGGCTGCAGAGAGTTATTAGAAAGTATCATCCAAGATATCTAATCTTGTTATACCCAGGAAGCATTTTTCGGCTTGGCAGTGAGGCTATGTGAGCGTAACCTACGCAAAACTGATGTTAATGTTTGGATATGTTTGCCCCAGGGTAGATGTCATTACGTAAATGTTATCAAAATAAACTGAAACATTTGGCATATTACCCAAGACCTTTCTCATCAGTCTCTGTAGGTAGCACAGGCAGTTCCCAAACCGAAGGGCATAGTTCTGTATTGCATCAGTCCTGGTTTTTGTAGGAAAAGCGGTTTTACTGCTTAGAAGAAGGATCTAACATTACTTGATGATATGCCTGCGCAATATCAATCTCTGAAAAGAAGGAAGAGTCATAAATTTGTGTAGATCGCTATCTATTAAGGGCATAGGCTCAGCATCACACCGAGTTATAGTATTAAGGCCTCTGAAGTCAATAGCAAGTCTATATGAATTATCCTCCTTCTTAACCCTGGGCTACTGGTGAGCATTTTGCAGATACTGAAGGTTCAATGATCTTTAGTTTTAATAATTTTGTCTACCTCTCGGTCAAATGCATCCCTAAGGTGAACTGGAACTGGGTTTAAATTTTTGTTTGATAGGATTGTCCGTCACTAAGTCAATCTTATGGACTACCGTGGAGGTAACACCTGGATATCAGTAAAGACGTCTGAAAAGTTTCTCGCCCCATTGAAGTAGTTCATGTCTCTTATGGTCATCCAAAGATTCATTAATATTAATGTTGGTTGCGCCGAGTGGTCAAGAGTCACCAAGTCATGTAGTTCTTCCCTATGTCTAAGTTAGAGGTGTCAATTACACACACCTTTCATTCTTCAGTTGTCTTATCAAGTTCGTGTGGAAAAAACTAAGTCAAAGTTTTTAAGGCAGTTAACCGAATTTCTTCGGTAAAAATTCTTAAGGATGTTGATATGATAAAGCTTAGGTTTCCCTTGACTTCTATGAGGTAGTCAAAATTTCCCACAGATTTTTATTACTTTATATGGACCTTTCCATGTTACTAATAATTTATTTGACTTGATAGGCAAAAGTACCAAACTTCAATCCCCTACTTTAAAACTTCTCCTCTGACTTTTTGAATCAAAATAGGTTTTGTACTGGCCCATTGACAAGCTTAAGTTTTTCGAAACTATGTCAGAGGTCTCCTCAAGTTTGGATCTAAGGTCAAGGAGAAACTGATAAGAAGACTGAACCTCAGCCTTTACGTCCTCGTTAGTCCATAAGTCATGAAGGATGGACAATGGGCCTCTGGCCTGTCTACCATAGAGAAGTTCAAAAGGTGAAAACCCCAAAGTCACTGGGAACTTCCCTCATGGCAAACAAAGCACAGGGTAGGTAACGATGCCACTCCTTAGGTTTAAGGGACTTGAGAATCGAATGCTGGCGCTCAATCCTCCCATTACAGCTGGGATGATAGGGTGTGGTGAAGAGAGGCTTCACTCCCAGAAGTTGGTAGAGATGTTGCATTAAGTCAGATGTGAATTGTGTCCCACAGTCAGACAAAATTTCTCTAGGGATGCCCACTCTGGAGAAGATGGACAAAAGGGCTTCAGCCACCTCTGTAGTGGTTATGGTCTTTAAGGGTATGGCTTCAGGGAAACTCGAAGCATAATCAACTAATGTTAATATATATCTATGTCCCCCAGATGAAAGTAGAGATAAAGGACCAACGATGTCAATAGCTACTCTTTCAAAGGGTACCGTAAAGATTGGCATTTTGACCATAGGTACTCGCCTGGTACCTCGGGAGGATGACAGTTGGCAAACTTAACACGATCTGAGGACATTTTTGGCCAAAAATAGGTTTCCCTAATTTTATTTAAGGTTTTATGATGCGAGAAATGTCCGGCCACTGGCAGGTCATGAGCCATTTTAAGAACAGTCTCTCTGCATTGACTTGGAACGACTAAGATGGAAGAGTCTATCTCGTCGGGAAATTTTAAATTTTAATACTGATTTATACAAGATATCCTTTATATATTCAAATTTATATGAAAAGTTTTTCCTTTGAATAACTTGATTTTGTTTAGCTGCATTATGGCAATTCTGAAGAGAAGGGCAATTACATTGTAAATTGACAAAGGAGTCCTTCGATATATCTAAAGGCTTAAAGTCAGGAAAATCATAGGATGGACAGTTTGGAGGGAAATCCCGGGCTTTGGTCTGAGCCCTAGTCAAGACATTTATAGTATCGGAGGGGATATCTTCACTTTCATCTAACAAGTGAACCCGGGGATCCTACTACCTCGCTTTCGAGAGTAGCATCATTTTGGGTTTTTTAATCCCCCATGAATATTCCGAGACATTGTCTCATCTGGACTTTCGAGGGGCTTCTCTGACTCTACAGGAAGAGGACTGGGAAACACTTGTCCATCTTTGGTGATGAAAGGTCAACCTCAGAAGGAAGAATGTCCCTTTTACATTACCCATTAGTACGGAGCAAGAGAAATGATGGGAGCTAGTATGGCTTCAGACCAACCTGTGAACCATTTAGACCTAATGTAACAACGGATGGTAGGAAAAGTGTCCGTACGGCCCCAAATAGTTGAAAGTATAGCAGAGGAATGAGTTTCTTTAAGGTTAGGGAACAGCTTATCAGAAATGACTATACATGTGCATCCCGTGTCTCGTGAAATGGTAGATACATTAAGTCCATTAACTGTTCCTGAACAGAAGGGTGCTTGGTCATTACAGTCTTTAAAACATCTTCCAACTTTTTGGACCTTCTTAGAAGGACAATTGGACGTTTATGTCCCTTAAAACCCCACAAATGACAAACAGGAATAAAAGAAGTCAAT